GTATATTAGAATATTAGTGACGGAGTGTAATCTCCTGTATTTTCAGATTACGAAAAGCAAGATTTGCGCATGCGCTTTACAGAACACCAACCTCACCCGGTGTAGCCGGTGGAAGCCTACGACCTTGGGTGAAAGCTGCACACATATAAGATTACAACTCTGTCAAGGACCGGTTCTGGGCTGTTAGCCGCCTGCCCACTAGATATTTCGATTACGTGAATAATGAGTAGATTTATAACTTAACCCAACCGATAAGAATTTACTGGTATGTTTTTACGATAGTTCTGTATAGTTGACAGGAGTTAAAAAAATCCATTAAAATATTTGATATATTTATTCCGCTTTCCGATTTTATATTACTCACGGATTTCGATGTTAAACCAGTGATATTACGATTTCGTACATCCCATCTTTAAGGGGATGTAGAAAAAAACGTGTACAATTCTTGTATAATGTTAAAAAATTAACTGTTACTTTGGTAGCATCATTTACAACTAAATTTAATGAATGAGAGAGATGCACCAGGTACAGAAAAAGCTCTAGAATTTATTTTCCTTAAATTTACGATTTATGTATCCGTTTGTCATAAAAATTTGTCTTTCCACTTTTTTCCCGAGACTACAAATATTCGAGTACAAAGTAACCGGTTTCGACTTATTTCTACTTAAGAAGTAGTTAAATAATTAAGCGATTAGGGAATTGGGGACATAAACAAAACCCTGACGAAAGAGCCGGAATATTACTTAAACAAAAGCTTAACCGAACCAATCTATAGCCGAGTACAGTGGGGACTGATTTCTTCGAAATACTGTATTAGATGTAATAAAGACAGAAATTTTTCCAGTTCGACGAGAGTGACCGAAAAGTTGTAAATTTTGGAAATTTCCGTGGACAACACCTGGTCCTAAAACGAATTAGTTAGAAAACAAACGACGGACAATCTATTAAGTTTAACATATTTAGACTTTTACAGCTATGGTGAGAAACGTTTAAAATTTACAAGAACCCTGTCGCGTCTTTTGAGGTATATTAGTGATGCGACAAAAGAAACATTTGACATTGCCAAATCCCGAGGGTATCGGCACCCTCGGGATTTGGCAGCCCGCGTGCATGTACAGTACACACCGCACACCTAGCAGGACCGTCTCTGATTCCACTCGTAGGGAGCTATTTGACTAAGTGGTTAAGATTTAAAGAGTAAAGAATATTTTATGTTATTTTCATGTACGTTTCATTACAAAGTTATATTTAATTATAATTTTCTTTAAAAGTATATTCATACAATTGAAGAATGTTTTGTACCAGGTATGTATATCCACCACACATTTTATTTCACCAAGTAAGTTTTTATAATTTTATTTTTAATTTTAGCCCTTATATCGTGGCTAGCGATTCGGAATGTAATTGCGATATTGAAAATTTATTTTAAAAAAGTTTTGGCTCGAGATCATATAATGAAAAAGAAAACATTAAAAGAGAACGGCCAATGCCTAAGTTAAATATAAACGCTTCAATAAAAAAATTTGTTCGATATTTTCACGATAAAATGGCTCTGTAAATGCATAAAAATGCATTTACAGAGTGAAATTAGTGTGTGGAATAAGAATGTCTTTGACAATTTAGCTGGCAAAAGACACGAAAAATCGTCGATTCTTTCGTATTTGAAGCAATTTGGAAATCGAAGCGGAATAGAATTTAACATTAGTAAATAATATAAAATAAATATTGAAAATTGTAACGAGATAATTATGGGTAATAGATATATTATATCTAAATAAATAGATGTTATATGTTTTTATCAAAGCAAGAATTGGCATTTAGAGGGCATATGGAATATATTGGATCTAATAACAGAGGTAATTATAATGAACTTGTTTATTAAGTACGTCAGATAAATAATCTATTAAAAATACATTTAAAGCAAGAATTAACTGATTGCCCCTGGATGTCAGCTTCTTATAGAAACACAGCTTCCCTATCATCAAATGTCACGGCACGCCCCTGCTGAATTTTATTTTCTTCCAGTTTAATCTAAAATTATAATTATTAAATTTAATATGATGGTGCCTGACACCTTTCTCTAGGGCTAAATTTATTAGTACAGTAATTTATAAGTATTATAGCACAATGATTTAAGACAGTTGAAAGTGTGTTGTTACTGAATTTTATTTTATATTGGAAGCACTTGCTGATGAAAGAAATAGAGGATAGAGATTTCATAGTAGATATAATCTGTTTAGTATAAGCCCAGAATTTTTAGTACTCAATTATATAATACTGATGGTTATATTGTGTTTTTTCTGTCTCCCAACAATTGCAATATAATGAGGGCTACTATAGTTAGAGAATAGAGACTATGATGACCAATTTTAAACAAGAATGATACCCTCTTTTTTTTTTAACTAACTACTAAAATATTGGGGGAAAATGTTATTTTACCTTGGTACAAGATTGCCATCATTTCAAAGATGATGTACAATTCTGCATTTGTGGCTAATAGAAATTAAATAAACTGAAAATTTATGGTTAGTAGTTTGAACAATGAATACATTTAATTTGTTATTGGTTTCTGTTCTGATTTTATTAAATTCTGATACCAAAACATACTTTTCTATTATTGGAAATATAATAACTTCATACCACATTCACAATATAATAATTTCATTTAACATTTGTAATTCAGTGCATTTCAATTCAAAATGACCTATTTAAACCTGAAGCTGGAATCAGATGGATTTCAAAAACATTTGTGATTTGTCATATCTTCTATTTTGCAGACATTACATTTTCTTTTTGGAAATTAAATAAACTCTTTCTTGATCTTTCTTGTTTTCAACAACTCATAAGTCGACTCTGTGTAATTAATTAATTATAGCCTTTATTGCTTAATTAAAGAATATTTATTTAATTTCCTAAAAGAAAATAATGTTGTAGTTTCTGTAACGTCCACAAAATGGAGGTTGACTGAGGAATGTCTCAATTTTTGTAATTCAGATACAACCCAAGTCTGAAATACAGAACTAGTCGGACTACTCAGAACTAGTCACATCTTTCTTGATTTACTGGATTCTGAAGAGTGGTATGAAGTCAATTCTGATATGTGAATTAGTTACATGTTGGATGAATTTAAGTGAAGGAAACAAATGTTAATTATATATTATAAACATTATCTTAATGCAACATTCCTACATACCTTATGCTGTCTTTTGCACTATGTAAATAGTTTAATGGTTAATTTTTCTATAATTCAGAAAAGATGATCAAAAGCATCTTTTTGTGAATTATACTTATTCAACTAAGGCTGGGTACACACTAGGCGTTTTTAAACGCACGTTTATAGAGTTTTCTTAAAACGCACACTTTTCGGGCACTTTAGTAGAACTCTTGGTTTTTTAAAACGCGCGTTTAAAAACGCCTAGTGTGTACGCAGTCTAACTGACACCTAAATGCAAATTCTAGCACATAATAAACAAAGAAATTTTAGGTGTCTGTTAGTTGATTATATAGTTTCAGTTTAAGTGTGCTATTTTTTGTTTGGTTATACTTATTCTTGTACTTACACTAACACTCAAATTTTAATATAAACACAAACACAAACATTTCCACCTACATTTAAGGTTCTTCATGAGGTAAGAAACTACTGAAGGCCCCAAAATGTTTCCAGAAATGTTTGTTAAAATTTGAGTGCTTGGAGTTAGTATGAGTGGCATATTTTTACTTATATATGATGACTAGTTTGCTCTCAAGTTGATTTTTTTCCATAGACAATGTCATGTATGGTGTTGCTTCAGTTAAACCAGTGTTTCTCAACGGGGGTGATATCGCCCCCATGTGGGCGGTTTTTCACGTTGAGGGGGTGATTAGTAACAATTTATATTTTGGGGGCAAAAAACAATTTTCTGGGCAATATAGTAAAACATTATATTAAGAATAATTAGATATTTTATTTGTTATATCGTACAATAATTAAACAAATAACATTACACTAGCCACTAGTCTATTCAATGCAGTACAAATTTGGCGTTAGCCTCGGCCCTCGGCATCGGAATTTTGAAGCGAAGGGGCGATACTACAAACTGTTTTATTGAAGGGGGCGACGATTCATTAGAGGTTGAGAAACACTGAGTTAAATCAATCAACACATTTTGTAATGAAGTCAACACTTTTTATTTAATATGTCAGACAATATGTGAACTTTATTTTCTCTCACTAGATGGCAGGAGGATTTCTGTTAATTGTTATTTTTTATAGCATTTGTTAACTGTAAAGAATTCTGCATTTAACTACTAATGTAGCAAACTTCCTCATATTTCAGTACCACAACGTGAAGCTTACATAACATTGTTTATAATGGCAGTGACATGTTTAAGAAACTGGAAGTAGCTTACCACAACTAAGTGATCAATGGTTGATGCTCATTGGTTAAATCCCAAGTTATTCTTTCCATAGACAGACTTTAGTATAAGAAAATTTTCATTTTTAATATTTAAATTGTCTTAAACTAATAATAATTATTTTTACAACACCAAACCTGTTGCATTTTTGGATAATTTTGGGGTTCCCAAAATTATGCAAAAATTTAGGTTGTCCCCAAAATTACTCACACAGGTTATTTAACTTTTAAAAAACAAAAAAGTGCAAAATTATTTTAAAGAATTTTTTTTCTTTATGTTTTAGTTCATTACAAAAATACTGATGTTTAGCTGTATACATATTTTCTCCCTCTATCATAGTCTGCTTTTTTGGATTTTATGATTCTGTTGAATTTATACATACTTAGTTACACGCACTTTAAAATTTTTAATATGAATAATTCTGCCTAAAGACAGATTTTAATAAATAATCTAGTACAGTTAATAACACTTCTCAGGTAGACATAATTAATGTTTGATATTTACCTTGATATAATTTCATAATACTTAGGAACATTCATCAAAGTTTTGTTTGATGTATTGACTATTGAATTTGTTGTAGAAAAACTGAATTTTTTTTTCTAATAGGTGTTAGCTGTGATTCCTGTCTGAAAGGCAACTTCAGAGGAAAACGTTACAAATGCCTGATATGTTATGACTATGACTTATGTGCTACTTGTTACGAAGCAGGAGCTACCACAACTCGACATACTACAGAACATCCAATGCAATGCATTTTAACTAGAGCTGATTTTGGTAAGTACAAAAATTTCTTGTTAAAGCAAATCTCAAAGTAAATATACTTTGACTTAACAGTTTTGTTCTTAATTCAGAACAATTTAATGATTTAATTATCTACATAAAAAAAGTGTGATAATCCCTCTTCTATAAAGAAGGTTTTGTTTACTTATATTTCATTTTAATTATTAAGTATTATTTACCTAATTGTTATTGGAATCAAATCATTAATGATTTGATGAGTTGCATTAGATTACTGTTATACATCTATAAATTTGGTTAAATGATTTAGAATCAATTTAGTGTTATAAGGAGATAAAAATTTCAATATATATTAATATGAATGCTTACATATAATTAAATTATGACAAATCTAGAAAAAGTGCTGAGCCAAGTTAAAAGTTACTTCACAATTTTTAATTAACTTTTTAATCATAATAGTTACATAAGACCATATTTAGAAATTCTAAATCTCCCTTATCTTTGTATTTTTCATCTAATTATTGTTGTATAAATGTATTTCTAATTTTAGTGGCAAAGGCCTTTGCTGAGTCAAGTGTAAAATCAGCCTAAAATATCTTGAATGAATGCCTAATTTTTATTTTTAAAGATAAAATTAACACTTTTTAGTGTTGATGGGAAAAGTTGTTTATGGAACAAAATAAATAAATCCAAATAGCAAAGGTTTTGACTAAACTCTGGATAACAAGGTCAGTTTTTGGTCATAAAAGAATTTGTCTCATTAAATGGCTTGCATTTGTTTGAGGTGACGTGCTAAAATGGTGCATTTGCAATGCATTATTTTAGCATGTCACCTCAATCCAATATATGCAGGAAGTCTGCATCACCAGAAAACAGCAAGATACAAATTGGCAAACAGTTGAGGAACCATATGCTATGAATACAGGAGAATGAATGTCTGGATACTACATTGTTGACAAAACAACTTGATAAAGGCAGTTTTAAGTGTCTCCCAGGTTATGATTTGTCCAGGTGTCGACAGTCTGGTAGGGGCAGGATTTAAGTTATTAATGTTATGCCAGAGCAGGAAAAAAAATAATAAGTGAATATTAATTTGCAATCTGCAAAAGTGATAAAATACTGTAGTTCTAAATTATGTTACATAAGGACTCAAATGACCAACTTTGTGACATGATGATTGTTATTTATGGTGGTGGCAGTGGCCACAGCAGCAGCTACAATGTTTGGCTCTAGTGTTTCATGACCCTAGCTTCAACTAAATGAGTTCAAGGCAGACAGTTCTATTAATAATCATCAAATATCAGCACACCTAAACAAAAAATCATCTAATGCAGTAAAAATTTTTTTATTCAAACATTTTCAGTGGTAGTGGTCTACAAATGTATTATTATGTAGGATTTGGAATTGACAAAATCCTAATATGTTTTTTTACAGAAAAATTTTGCAGGACCTAGATATGAAACTCAAACACCACAGGATAGTTTCTCAGTGACAAGCCTGTCAGAACAGTGCCACCTGGTTTCAACATAATTGTTCCTGTGGCATTCTCAGGTTTACTGATGGCTTTCTCTCACTTTATACAATGTATTGGATGGCCAGGAAACAATCTTCCATAGCCAAATAACCAGATTTAACTCTGACGGACTTGTTCTGGAGGGTACTTAAAGTATTTGCAGGGTTCCTATGCACCTGGAAAGTCAGGGAGTTACATTGGTGTTCGAGGAAAGTTGGAATTTGTCTCCTTAGCTGCTTTGTTGATCTCGTTTGCTGGATATGGATGACCAATCGTAGCCATCTACAGGCGGCAAAAAGTAATGCTGCAATCTTTAATAGGAAAATACACCAGAATCCATTTTGAAATGGCTTTTTTCACTGTTCTGAACCCATATAATTTTACAGTTGTGGATTAATAACAGGATAAACTACTTTTATGTAATAGTGTTTAATTTTTTATTTTAATAATTCAGCAATTATAAAAAGATGAAATTGTTAATTAGAATAAAAAATAACTATTTTTGTCGTTTTGAACACTATATAGTGTAAATACGTAAACACTGGGCAATTTTCATTTTAAATAAGTTTATTCAATTTTTAGTTGATTATATGTTGTTCAAAATGACAAAAATAATCACCGACATGGTTTCAAGAATGTAAAAAAAAAATTAACTAATAAAAAATTTGTTTACAAACTTTTAAAAGTTGAAATCGTATTTTATTAGAATGTTCACTTCAAAATAGCTAAATAGATCAATAAAAATCTGTAATTTAATCATTTTTAATGTTTAAAACATTACTACACAACATAAAAATTATAACAATCCACGAAAAACCTTTTTTTACGAGTGTTATGTCACTATTAAATTCCACAAGTACTTTCGACCTCCACCGAGGTCTGCTTCAGGTGGTGACTGGCCATGTTTCGACCCGACCGTCGTAACGATGTTGCCAACGATGTAAATAAATAAATGTGCGTGTCGGGTTTCACCCCTCTAACCTCCATTGCTCGAACTCCTCGAATAAATACTTCCACGCCTGTGCAAGTGTTTCCCCATCCCTGTAGTTTATTTACATCGTTGGCAACATCATTACGACGGTCGGGTCGAAACACGGCCAGTCACCACCTGAAGCAGACCTCGGTGGAGGTCAAAAGAACTTGTGGAATTTAATAGTGACATAACACTCGTAAAAAAAGGTTTTTCATGGATTGTTATTATTCAACGCAGTGTTAAGTTGTTGGAAGTCGTTTATCTTAAATTATAGTTACCCAACATTTACAGTAAAATGCTGGCACTGACTTGTGGTTGGCACGAGCTTTTTATATTTGTTGTTATGATTTTTCTTGAAAGTACTGTACTGCAAGCGTACTTTTTCCCCTCTCTTCCAGTTTTTCCATAACTTTGATACATAGTTTAATAATTAGTTTAACAGAAATGGATTGGGTAACAAATATCACTGATTTTGGCAAATTTAGGGCTTAAAAACTGGCAAGATTGATCATACTTATAATAGATATACTGTAGTTATATTTTTGAAAATCAACAGGTAATCTGATAGTTTAACCAATGTTAACTTGCTTATAATTAAAATATTTAAAAATTAAAAAGCTGGTAAATTTTTAAAAAAATTAATCAAATTTATTTTAATTTTTTAGTAATTTATCTTTTGTGTGAAACAACACCAAAACAATTTTTATAGTTATGTTGCAAAAGAAAGAGATTTGTAGTTACAAATCTATGCACTGAACTTCTGTATTTTAATAATGTATAATTGTAATTTTGTTTGATGTTTATTTCTGTACTTATTTTATTTAAATTCTATAAGTTTTAAGAATCCCAATTTTCTTAATACAGTTGACCCCCCCAACATGGTAGATATGTTCCACTTTATAAGAATTTCACGTTGTAGGAATCCTTAAATATATGAGCCAATCACAGTCCTGCATGTGTGCAATTTATGGACTACGGCTGTTTGAAAGGTTTTCTTCCATAAAATTAATCAATTCTAGACTAATTTGACTCAACATTTTTAAAACACGTATAATTTTTTGGGAATAATCTGTATAAACTATGCTATAAACAAAAACTTGTATGATTACTTACTAAGTGTGCACTGTTCGATGATGCCATTGCTTAAGCTTGTTTTAGTCGCAGAGCAGCACACCAAACGGCAGGAGCGTTTTCTGATAAGTTATTTTTCTGCAAAAAATTCGTTGAACTTTGAAGACATCATTAATAGAAATAATTTTTTTGGCCATTGAATAAGAAATGTTTTTTCCACAAGAAATGTATATAATTACAGTACCTAATTTATATACTGTACAGATGATAGTAAACAACTTACCCGTCTAAACTCTCTGTAGTGTGTAAGTAGTTTGGCTGCTCGTCCACTATTGGTCCAGATTTGACCAATCCTGTTGCGACACGAGTCAGAGATGATGTTTTGCCACATTTTCAAGTCTCTTTTAGTGTCTTTATACGAATATGGTCGCAATTTTTTCATCATGATATACGAATCCACATTATATGAACCCGCTTTATAGGGGAGTCGACTGTACTATGATGTCGTAGGAGTACAAGTGTGAGGTTCCGGAATTGTCCCAGAACTCACTAAAATAGAAAAATGTAAAAAGTTTAATTATTAGAGAAAAAAGGAACAAACAAAAATTTTTTATAAAAACTTGAGGAATAGTCTAGACCAGTAATTCTCAAACTTTTTCGATCCACCGCCCCCTTTGTTCCATAAAGTTATACCCAACGCCCCCTAACCCATTTTCTCTTGTGTGAGAAAAGGATTGGAAATATTCTTAGGAAAACTTTTCTATGAATCTCACACTTTGTGCCCTTACTGTACATTGTTCTCATCATCTGGAACACCATTAAACGCAATGTTTCCTCTTATCAGCCCCAATTTTGCCTTTGGTCACCGTTCAATACCCTGCCTCTATCATAGATCTATTCATCGCGCCAGAAGGGGACGTTATTGCTTACTTTGAGAAACGCTGAGCTAAAATAAAAGTCAATGTGTTAGAAATATTCAAGTTGTGACGTTCAATAAAAAATATATAAAATGTCAACATTTTATATATATTCCATCGAATTTTTATATATAGAATTTGTCTGCCGTCGCCTCTCTATATTTCCTTAACGCCCCCCAATTCTCTTTGAGCCTTCTACTGCCCCCCTGAAAGCATCCAGCGCCCACAAGGGGGCGTTATCGACCACTTTGAGAAACGCTGGTCTAGACAGTTCAAGGTCAATCATTTGTATTGGAGTCAAATTTTCCATTGTTTGAAAAAACAATGATGATTTCTCCTGTGAACTTTGATTCTTCGATTGACGTAAGTAAATTGGAAAATCCATTAGATCCCTCATCACAAAGTGTGAGTGAGGGTCCAAAACCAATCCAGAGAATGATTGCAGGACAGGAAGGTGATAAAAGCTGGTGTCTCAAGGACACAAGGCTGTCAAGAGTCATCTCTTCTGTAACCATCGCCACCAATCACCTCTGTCATTTGCCTTTTCCCCACACTTCATCTC